ATTCATAATAGTGTATCTTCAATGATTTATTCTTAAAATATAGCTGAGGGTGGGTATGCGTGTGAATCAAAAAGAGATGCTCTCACCTTCACCCAGAACTTCAAGATAGACAGACTTCAAATGATGAAATTGTATTGTACTTGATATATTATGCACACCAACCGATCAAATTATGCCTGAGTTTCGATGAAAATCGTACAGAAAGATGAATGATTCATCAGTGCCTGTTGATACACGTGCTCGTTATTTTGTCTATTCAAGATAAGCGTTATTTCGAGTCAAAAGTGAAATTTGAAATATAAGATTCTCTTCTTTCGTCATTACACACACACATTCATACATCGTTTTTTCTTGATAAAGTATGGCAGGTCAAGAATTTTCGCTCAGAAACGCCAATGCATCAGTCATTGAGTTGATATCTGGCGAAGAAGCTTTGAACGAGTTGAAACAAGTAGATGATTATTTTAATAATTTCAGTAGATTTGACTTAGAATCACGTTTAAAGTCGTCAACAGCGACATTGGATGATTATATCGCATCTTTTACACAACGTATTGTAAACTGGAATGAAAAGCAAAAACAATGTATTGGAAACTATATTGATTACATCAATACGAAATGTATCGATCAACTACAATTATTAGTACTACCAGCTCGTATTTCAGTTGTATTAACAGATGGGAAAGATCAGAGCGACGATGCTCATTGTCGCAATAATAATGTAATTGTACTTCCACAACACATTGTTATAATGACGGATAGTAAACGTGAAACATTCATTCATGAATTATTTCATATATGGAGTCGACAAAAAACGAATATGAAAATTCGTGATGAATTATATGCGAGCATTGGTTATCATCGAATTCCAATTGATTATCAATCAGAACTTCCTTCGGATCTATCAGAAATGAAGATTACTAATCCTGATGCACCATTTGTGATGAAATACTTCATCAATCTGAAGAGGAAAAATCATCAAAAAAACAAAATCTGTAAATGTACACCAATTATACATGCATCTCGTCCATTTAAGTCGAAATATTCCACTAGTATGTTTGACTATTTAGTTGCAACGACCATCGTTTTAGACGAAGAAACGTATGAGCCAAAACAACCATTAGAATATCTTCCCTATGATCAAGCAGCAAATTTTTATGCTCAAATTGGAAATAATACGGGTTATATTATGCACCCGGAAGAAATTCTAGCTGATAACTTTGTTCTATGGATGATTGCAACAAAGAATCCAAGTCGATTACGTACTCCAACTGTTGTACATAATATGAACGATATTATTGTTCGTTCTGTTAAATAAATAAAGACTTATCGAACGATTACATAGTTTTCTTTAATAAGAGAAACGTGAATTTTAGTCTGATTTTCTGTCTCTCTGACTACTTATCTAACGCTAACATTTCTTTTTCTTCTTCAGTGATATTAAATAAATATAAAAGTGCAGAGTTTTTCGAGTGATAAAGACTATTTTTCAACACAAATTTTCATCAAAACAAATATGGCTCTCAGTAATAAACAAACAGGAAAGTTCATGCAGCGTTTCACTGATGTGAATGCGGAACCAAGACAAATGCTCCCATCGATCATGGATTATCAAAAGATGGTAAAACGAATCGTAGAGCACTTGCTAATGGATGAACACTGGATAAATTTACATCGATTATGCTTTACTCTCTTGAATGGGAACCGAGAGAAAAATCAGGGTGTAGATGTAGGTTTTACTGCTTTATTTTTCTGACACCCACACTCACCCTTGACATAAAATAAATTTTCAACCCATGTTTGTGTTTATTTATTGATACCCGTAGTTTTAAACATTATTTATAATTTTCTTAGGTGAATTATATATTTAATTTCACAATATGCATAATACAAATATATGAGGAAAATAAAAAAACTCAACATGTATGAAAACCACACAGCAAGAACTTTTTTGACAATTTATCATCATCATCTTTTCCTATGCTCATTCTCAAAGGAAATTCACGTTTATCAGAAAAATCGAGAATATGACTGGTTAGAATTTTTCTACCAATTAGATATACTTGTTGACTGTGGCACTAATATATTAATCGGTTTTAAGATTTTTGTCACAGAAAACAATCTAATCCACCCATTTCATATATTTATTCTTTATTTTCTTAAAATAAAATTATAGTTACCATGTAACATGACTCATGAGAACAAAGAACAAACATGACTCATATCATATCTCGTTTTTTTCTTATTACTCATTTGTTCATACATATACGTAAATCATTACTAATCTTTGTTCCATTCATAACTTCTCTTTGATACAAATATCCTACATTAGATTCCGCATTTGAATAGATTTTGAAGAAATAAACTCGTACAGGTAACAATTGACTTTCATATTGATATTATTTGAAATAGTTAAATTAAGTCTTCAAGGAAATATCGAATATAATTGATTACTTTTATTTTAGATTTCATTTCTATAAAAAGTAAAACTATGTCTAATAATAAATGGATAGCAGAGTTAAAAACTGTTCTTCAAGTTGCTAAAGCACGTCTTGATGTTCGTGAAAAGAAAAAAACTGAACAAGTAGCAAAAGAACGTTATACAGTTGCTGATTATATTCGCAATAATAAAGTTCCTCGTGCTCGAATTGGTAAATATTCTTTTATATCAAAAATAAAAATCATTTTTTTTATCATTGAAATTATTTTCTAGCTGTTGAACATCTTATACGTGAAGATTATAAGATTGAAGCAATGGATCGTGTTGAAGCTTATCTTGATACACTTCTTATGAGAATGCAATTAATTAAAGATCGTCCGTATGTAAAATTGTTCTATTAATTATTTAAATAAACCGTTTTCTTATAGAAAAAATGGTGCGGTTGATCCAGCTATTGAACAACCATTAGCAAATATTCTATGGTCAGCACCTTTTCTTACACAAGATATTCCTGAGCTTGGTCAAATAACATTAATGTTTAAAAAACATTTTGGACCAGAGTAATTTTTTTTCTTTTTTTAATCAAATAATATTTACTTTTTTTAATAGATATGTTTCCATGTGTGAACAAAATAAACTTGGAATGGTTGATGTTGATCTTTTACGTTGTTTAAGTTGTGATCTTATTCCAAAATTACTTATTGAAAAATATCTAGTCGAAATATGTCGAAGTCAAAATGTTCCATTTGAACCAGATCAAACTGTTATGGCACAAGATGAATTTTGGACTATTGGACAACGTTATGTACAACATCCACCAGCTAATGATGATAAAAAATTACCACCTCCACCACCACCATCATCTTCATCGAATGGAGGAGGAGCATCGTCATCAGGTGGTAGTGGAGGTCG